ATATATAGGTAAGTAAAAATGCATACAATCCAATTGAATAAATATTTGGTATGAGCCTACAATGTGCCAGGCACTGGGGATACAACTCATAAAAAGAAAGACAGCCCCTGCCCTCAATGAGTTTATAATCCAAGGGAGAGACAATACACAAAAGGAAGCAGGAGGGGGCAGCTAGGTGGCACAGTGGATAGAGTACTGGCCCTGGAGTCAGAAGGACCTGAGTTTAAATCTGGCCTCAGACCAAACACTTGACACTTACTAGCTGTGTGACCCTGGGCAAGTCACTTAATCCCAATTGCCAAAAAAAAAGATAAAAAAAAGGAAGCAGGAAATGGGGGTGGGGTGGGGAATAGACACCACAGAGGTATCTTGTTCCATGGAGTTGAGACCAGGCAGGGCAGCAGATGCAATATGGATGAAAGGTAGAAGTTGATTTCCCTTGAGAGTGCACAAGCAAATGGGGAAACCCAGAAGGCTTCCTGCAGAAGTGGGCATGTAGTTGAGCTTTAATGGGGATTCTTGGTACCTTTTATTTTTACATCAGTTATTTCTTTTTTTTAAAAAAAAAGGCAATTGGGGTTAAATAACTTGCCCAAGGTCACACAGCTAGTGAATGTCTGAGGCCAGATTTGAACTCAGGTCCTCCTGAGTCCAGGGCTGGTGCTCTGTCCACTGCGCCACCTAACTGTTCCCTTAATGGGGATTTTAAGAGGCCCAAGTGAGTAAGAAGAGCATTCCAAGTGTGTGGTATAGTCTGTACAAAAGACAAGAAGAGATGAAATAGGGTACTATGCTTGAGAAAATAATAAGGGCTGATTAACTGTTCCATAGAGTCTGTGTATGTAATATGGCTGGTAAAGCAGGTTGGAATCAGGTTATGAAATACTTTGGTTGGTTGGCTCGTTGTTATCCTCCATTCTTGTTTTTGGTTTGTTTGTTTGGGTTTTTTTGAGTGGTTGGGGTTAAGTGACTTGCCCAGGGTCACGCAGCTAGTAAGTGTCAAGTGTTTGGTCTGAGGCTGGATTTGAACTCAGGTCCTCCTGATTTCAGGGCTGGTGCTCTATCCACTGAGCCACCTATCTACCCCTGTCCTTCATTCTTGAAGAGGACCAAAATGGCATCATGATGTTAGGGTCAAGGATCAGACCAATACAAGCTCAGAATGCTCCACCATAGATCGGGCACATATAGTTCACAAGAACATTTGGAGTGGCAATGTCTCTATGCAAAAATGCAAAACAGAGGATCTTACAATTGTACTAGAGGTAATTGGGAACCAGCGGAGTTTTTGAGGAAGCAGTCAGACACTGAAGTTATCATAAACCTAGGTTCCCTAAACAATAATAGAGAAGTTCATAAGAGGGGTTGGTTTGAGGGAGAAAGATAAAGGAATAGTCTTCTGCCGTAAGAAGCAAAACATATGAGAAATTCTAGGAAGATTTCTAAATTGAGATAGAGGGAAGTGAGCAGAACCAGGAAATAATATATGCAATGGCTACATCAAGAACAAAAAACCTGATACTCCTTATAATGATCAAGCCTGTCCCTGGAGAAGAGATGAGGAGGTGCACCCCCACCACCCTTCTTTGCAGAAGTAGGAGACAGACTGTAGATGTGGAATACTACATATACTTTCAGACACAATCAGTATTGTGATTATTTGGGGGCAACTGTTTTTATTTATTTTATTTATTTTGCAGAAGATAGTCTGGGAGGGATATGTTCAGAAATGACCATGATGGAAAGAACAAAAGATCTCAACTAAAATAGGGTAAAATTAGAAACAATGTAGGCAAAGAAATCTTCCTGACTCATGGGTTCAGGATTTGTAGCTTCAGTTATTCATAGAATCTCAGAACCACAGACTGCCAGAGTTGGAATGGGTCATAACGTCCACTGATTGGAACATGGTAAAGTCGTTTGTCATGTGAGGAAATGCTCAAAACTGGGAGCTGTCCACAGCTGAAGTTAGTGGAAAGATCAGTTTGCAGGGGAATTTCAAGGTGGGGTTGGGGAGAATGGCAAGGAATTAGCCCCAATCTAGGGCTCAAAGTAGCATCTGCATGGTTTGGAGAATCAAAATAGAAATAGCCTTATTGTATGAGGCCAAACCGCTGTGGATTTGTGTATTTAGTCTCGAACACTTGCCTCCCTGGGCTTGTCTATCACACCTTTTTTTCCCCTTGGGCAATTGGGATTAAGTGACTTGCCCAGGGTCACACAGCTAGTAAGTATCAAATGTCTAAGGGTCCTCCTGACTCCAGGGCCAGTGCTCTATCCACTGTGCCACCTAGCTGCCCCCATCACACCTTTTGTGAATATAGAAGTTGCTGCCATTGCTGAACTGTACTTCTGAATCTCCAATGTTTCTTGCTTCTGTCCCTTCTTCTCTTGTGATAATAGACCCCCTTTTGCCTAACAGACCCCCTCACTACCAGAATGTCCCCCACAAGGGCAGCTAGGTAGTGCAGTGGATAGAGCATCGGCCTTGGAGTCAAGAGGACCTGAGTTCAAACACGGCCTCATACACATAACACTTACTAGCTGTGTGACCCTGAGTGAGTCACTTAACCCCATTGCCTAGCAAAAAAAACCCCAAAACAAACCAGAATGTACCCCCGCAATACTGTCTATTTTTACATCACAAGAAAAATAGCTGAGTCAGCAGTGGGCAGATGGGAAGGTGACCTTTGGGAGAAAGCTGTCAGTCTCAAGCCAGATGAAGGAGGGGCACTGAAGATTGGGGTATTTGCCAGGAGCCTAAGAATCCATTCCCTACCTCCCCCAGGATCTGCAGAGGATATCCTGTATACATAAGTATACATAAATCAATGAAGAAAAAGTAGCAGCTGGCTGTAGTTTCTTAACAATACCCTATGACTAATGACTTATGGTTTTATCATGAAAGTGAGAAAATGCATTAATAGCCTCAGCCCTGCCAAGTTATTCTTCCACACCTCCAGCATCAAAGCAAACACGTATCAACCCACAGCTGCTTAAAGTTGCAGATAATAGTAACAATCTAGCTCATTGGTATAGAGATATTTATTATTTACAAAGCTCATATGTACATTATACCACTGGTTTCTCACAACAACCCCAGTGAAGTAGGTGGCTTCAAGCATTATTATCCCCATTTTACAGATGCAGAAACAGAAATGAAGTGACTTACTCAAGAGCCTAACTGCTAGTAAAAATAACAATGATGTGTATAACCTTTATTAAACTGCTTGCCTTCTCAATGAGGGGGGAGGGGAGGGAAGGAGAATTTGAAACTCAAAATTTTTTCAAATGTTAAAAATTGGTTTTACACGAAATTAAAAAAAAATTTAAATGACAATGATAATTCCTATTCTGATACTTTCCCCACTGTAGTCAGCTGCCTCTAAAGTCCTTTTGAGCTCTGAGAGTAATCTATGATAACTCTTTATGGATGGTAATGTCTTCCGAATGCTTCTGTTTGCAAATGACATCAAGCCCTGGAACACTGAAGAGCCTCCTGGAAGAGATGTGTAACCACTCAAAAGAATCTGGCCTGACTACCCAAACAGGAAAAACCAAGTGGATGAAGAATATCTATCGCCCAGATAATGGTACAGGTGGGTAAAGAACTGATAGAGATTGTTCATAAGTCTGTATGTCTGGGACAAACAGTATAGATGGCAATGAATTTGTGCCTAGAATTAAATAGGAGAGTGAGAGAGATTGCATTCAGGGAATTATAAAGGTCCCTTGGTAGCCTCTCAGCTTCTCCTGGAAATAAATATTTCTAATACTGGTGTTCTACCAATGTTGCATGGCTTCACAACATGGAGCACAATAGTCTCTAAAGAACTGAAAATGAAGGACAGCTAGGTGGCACTGTAGCTAGCAAAGAGAGCACTGGTCCTGGAGCCAGGAGAACCTGGGTTGAAATCCAGCCTCAGACACTTAACATAAGCTGTGTGACCTTGGGCAAGTCACTTAACCTCTTTAAATTAAAAAAAAAGAATTGAAAATGAATATCACCAAAAAGGGCAATGGAAAGGCATGTGATGGGTGTGGACTGGCTAGAACAGCTAACCAATGAGGAACCTAGAAGGAGAATAACAGTAAGAGATGTCATCAAGGAAATGCATGATAGGAAGAGAAGATGGACTCATGTAGTGAGGGTGAGGGATAGTAGTTGGACAGCTTAACTGTGTCATGGGCATGTAAAGAGAAAGCAACACTTGGCACAGAATCTGCCATAAATACCTATTGACTGACTGATTGATTGAATTTCATATTAGATTTGATCCAATCTTCTATAATGAGAAGCATAACTTCAAGGAATAAAGGGGTCATAGCCACACTGTACTCTATCCTGGTCAGGCCATATCTGGAGTATTGTGTTCATTTCTGATTACTGCAGTTTAGGAATGACTTAGATAAGCTGGAGTGGGTCCAGAGAAGGGCAACCAGGTGGTGAAGGGCCCCAAGTCAATGCCATATTAGAATTTGTTGAAGGGATTGAGGGATGTCTAACCCAGAGAGGAGAATATTGGGGAGGAGGGGACTTGACAACTGTTGTGAATAGCTGTCATGTGGAAAAAGGATTAGATTTGTTTGAATTGGCCTCATAGGGCAGAGCCAATGGCCGTGAAGGAAGTCGAAAAGAGGCAGATTTAGGCTTGATGTTGAGAAAAACAATGACTGCTATTCCGAAGAGTGTGGGCTGCCTCTAAAGGTGAACAGATTGTTCTTCACTGAAGGTTTTCAATCTGAAGATCATAGATTAGATCTGGGGGAACTCAGTGGTCATCAAATCCAGTGGCCTCAATTTTACAGATGAGGAAACTAAGGCCCAGAGAGGTAAAGTGACTTGCTGAAAAGTAACATAGTGTCAGAGAAGAGGTGTGGACCCCTATCCTCTCACTCCACAGCCAATATTCTTTCCACTCAACTATGCTGGATGATTACTAGGTTGTAGTAGGGACTACTTTTTTGGCATAAGTTGGACCAAATGATCTCTGAGTTACCTTGTAGATGTAGAATTCTGTGAATGCAGCCTGTCCAGATCTTTTGGGGGTCCTGACTCTGTCACATGGTGTGCTAGCTATCCCTCCTACCTTCAGGTCTTCTGCAATGTGAAATCAGCAACATCTGTCACTGTTGTCTGTCATCTGTCAAATAAAGATGATAAAACGTATTCAGTGGGGAGAGGGGGATGGCGAGCATCCTTTGAGATAATATATGTGAAAGGACTTTTTAGAAAAGGAACAGAACAAATGTGGAATCAGAAGAATACAGCTTTAAGCCCCTTGCCATTCTGAAAATCTATGATTCTGAATCTATATCTAGTATAAAACCAACCCTCTCAATTTACAGATGTGTTGATACTGAATTCCCAAATAGTTACACCAACGTACTGCAGAGGGAAGAACACTGACTTGAGTCAAAACATCTACCCATGTGAACTTTATCAAGTGATGGCCCCCTTTTAAGCCTCAGTGTCCTCACCTCTATAATGGATATATTAACACTTGTACTCCTTACCTCACAAAGGGTGGGGATAGTATGGGAAAAGCCTTTTGTCAACTGTAAAGTGCCTCTTCTATTTTTCTGCTTCTCCAAATGGCCTCTGAGTTACTCTGAGCCCTCCATTCCCTCTGAAATTCTGGAATCCTGGGACCAGCCTATGACCATACAACTGATGAACTGCAGTCAGAGACTAGAACCTACAGAAGTGGGAATCATTTGTTCCTAGCTAAGTGATGGTGGAGCTAATAGAAGAATTTAAGTCTCTTGATTCTTGGTAAGGGAGCCTACAAAATTGTGTCTGTTAGTATCTCTGCTGGGAACCTTCAGGGTCTGCCAACAGCTGAAGATCACCCCCAAAGAGGACTTCATTGCTTTGAAGAACACCCCTGTAAGGAGAGGTACTTCTAAGTCACTTTTCATCCTACCTTGACACAGAAAGCACTCAGGTTTAGCTGGGGAAAGCTCACTAATACCACCAGTGGCTTCCTGAGGCTGGTCATATCTCTTTAGATGAATGGCTTCATGCTGTAGAGCTTCTGGAATTGGGCTAAGGGTGGCTGGTGCAAAGGGTGTGACTTGCGGGCAGTCAGTCCCCTTCTCCCATCTCCTAGAGAGGCAGCAAATAATTGAAAACTGGCTATACCCCCTCTAAAAGGTTGTTGACCCCATTCCTGGCACAAAGTCTCTCTCCAACAATCACTATAGGATGCTTTTAGGGGAGGCCTTGATTTTCCCTTCAAAGGCAGTGCAGTTACTTTGCAGAGGTAATGGGTCCATCAATGTGGAACGCTGCATATATTGTCAAAATTTTTGTCAATGTACTGATTGGTTTTGCTGAAATTTTCTCTTCTTCATTTTCTTTTTTAAAAATCCTGTTAACAGTAATAGCTGCTGAAAATTTCTTTTCTTTGTTTTCTTTTTTTAAAAATCCTATTAAAAATAATAGCTAGCATTTACTTACCAACTTTAAGATTTACAGAGTACGTATATATGTTACCATATTTGATCATTTTTAAGGGATGACTCTCTGAGAGGGAGAGAAGGAGAGGGCTAATGAAACAAGGGGAAATCTTAGAGACATAAGAAAAATTAATAAAATGGTTTTTTTAAAGTGTGATTTAGTAGAAAGAATGCCAGATTTAGAGTCAGAGGTCCTGTGTTCAAATCCCAGCTCTGACAATTATTTGGGTAAGTCACTTCATCTCTCTTGGTCTTAGTTTTAGGAGTTATAGTAGACCGGGTCATATCTAAGCCTCTTTCCAAGAAGCATCATGATACAATGGAAAGAACATTGTTTTTGTAATCATAAGGACTGGGTTCAAATCTTGGTTCTGCTACTACCCACATGACTTTGGACAAATCACTTCATCTTTCTGGGGTTCAGTTTCCTCATCTGTAAAATGTGGGGATTTGGATTACATGGCTTCTAAGGTCCCTTTTAACTTGAAACCTATGACCTTAGACATTAAAAGCTGTAAGGGAGAGCCTTTGAGGTTACTTAGTCCAATTATCTTATCAGAGAGAGGAGGAAACAGAATCCCAGGAAGATGAAGTAATTCAGCCCAGGTGAAGTAAATAGCTAGTATCTGAAGTGGGGATTTGAATGCAGGGCCTCTGATTACCTATCCATCACTCTGCTACACCATGTTATACTACTAGTCTCTGAATGTTACACATCTCTCCCCATAAATCCTTAGCTTCTATAAACAGCCCATTACTAATCTGTCATAAGCAACCATTTATCAAGGGCCAGTGGTGTAGAAAGCCCTGTCCTAAGTGCTGAAGGAGAAACGAATTAAAATAAGATGTGATTCATTCCCCCAGTACTTCTACCCAATAGAGCACTAGAAAAATAGTTACTAGCCTTCTGGCAAGTGTGAGAAAGAAGAAGGCTGGGACGTGAAAGGTTAGCAAGATAAGGGCATCCTAGCACTGTGTGCGATACATGGCTGGTTCTTGAGTGATGGGACTATTTTTAATCAGGCACAGATGCCCCAGTTCCTGTCTAAGGGAGGGAGCAGGGGACAGATACAAAGCTGCCTTATTTCTATTGTTTATTATTTCATTGGCCATCTAAGCAGATGGACACTCTGGGTATTCTTCTCCTTGGTTTCTTCTTTGATGTTTTTCATTTTGTGATGCCTTTTTGCTGGTTACTTCAGAAGTGACTTTCCCATGAACAAGGAGCAGGGTCTGGGAGAAGAAAGGACTGACCAGTGACAATGAGCAAGGGCATGGTGTGGTGATGGTGGCAGGGGAACACGGAATAAATATTAAATCCTGCTCCATCAGCAGTGGGAGCAGATCCAAAAAACCACTTAGCCTCATAAATTGCTCACTTATCACCCCTGTAGTGAGTTTGCTCCAAACTGCTCGGAGAATGAGTGCCACTAATCAAATATGGCGGGGCTGTCCCTGGAAGGAGGCCAGGCCAGACCCAGCAGGAGCCTGCACTGCTCCTGGATCCATTAGCTTTTATCCCATCCAATGTTTTAGTGTTGGGTTTGTGTTTGATTTCAAAATCCAGACAGTTAGGTCATTATTGTCTAAATTGCAGCTTTTAATTAGCTGATGGGATGAAATGAAAAGCCAGAGTGGAATGAATGTGCCTAACTTTTGATTTGGCATTTACAATTAGTAGTGTCTTTAAAAGATTAGTTTAGGGGTGTTACCCCCTCCTTTTTAATCCTCAAATTATATCCTGTGGGATGGAAAAAGGAAGGATGGATGGAAAATAGAAAGAAAGAAGAAAGAAAGGAAGAGAGAGAATGGGAAGAAGGAAGGAAAAGAGAAGAAGGAAGGGAGGGGGAGAAAAAAGAAAAAAGGAAGGAAGGAAAAGAGAGAAAGAAAGAAAAAAGGAAGGGAGAGAAAGGAATGAAAGGAGAAGAAAAAGAAAGAAACAAAGAAACTGAGACAATAGCTAAAGTAATGTTGAAGATTGCAAAGTTTATCCACAAAAAAAATCAGCTTTTTTATATCATAATAAAACCTAGGAGGTGATAAGATCCATTCAAAATTAATTACAGATGCATAAAATGTATGGGAGTTAATCTCCCAAAGCATACTCAATCCCTTTATAGATAACACTAGAAAATAATCCTTGAAGATAAGAGAACAGCTCAAATAGCTGAAGGAATATTTACTGCTTGTTGCTGGGCCAGGCCAATATAGTAAAAAATGAAAATACTTACTGAAGTTACCATATAGACTTCATGCTATATCAATCAAGGTATCAAAGGAATACTTTACCAAGCTAGACAAAATGATTTTTAAAATTCATTTGCAGGAACAAAGGATCTAGAATATCAAATGAAACAATGAAAAAAGGTAGGAATGAAGGGAAAATAGCAGTTCCAGACTTCAAACTACATTAGAAATCAGCAATCATCAAAACTGTTTCGTACTGAATAAGAATTGGAAAAGAATCTTGCTCAATGAATAGACTAGACAAGGAAGATTCAGAAATAGTTGATCTCAGTAACCCAGGACCTGATATACATAAATTGCTTAGGGAAAAAAAACTCCCTATTTGATAAGAAATGCTAGGAAAATTAGAGGTTTAGTTGAACATCTTCCACCATCTTCCACAATCAATCTGAAGTGTATGTGTGAAATGAATATTGAAGATCACGGCATAAAAAATTAGAAAAGCAACAGATCATATTTCTTTTGCTCAGTCATTTCAATAATGTCTGACTCTTCATGAACCCATTTGGTAGGTTTTTGGTTTTTTTGTTTTTGGGGGGGTTTTTTTTTGCAAAGATAATGGAGTGGTTTGCCATTTCTTCTCCAGCTCATTTTGTTCAGTCATTTTTCAGTCATGTCCAACTCTTCATGACCCCATTTGGGGTTTTCTTGGCAAAGACACTGAAGTGGCTTGCCATTTCCTTTTCCAGCTCATTTTATGTATGAGGAAAGTGAGGCAAACAGGGTTAACTTACTTGCCATGGGTCACACAGTAAGTGTTTGAGGCCAGATTTTAACTCTGCTCTTCTTGATTCTAGAGCACTGAGCCACCTAGCTACCCTATTTCTTTTTCTGTTTCTTTTTCTACTTCTTTCTCTTAAAAAAAAAGTTAAGAAATTGGCTTGTTATAGGGTTATTCTTACTGGCGATTCTTCACAAAAGGTTTAAAAGAGAAACTGAGGCAGAGAGAAACATAGTGGCTTGGTCAGGATGACATAGTGGGTGGGTGGTGAAATCAGAATTAGAAATGAGAGGAGTTAGCCAGGCTACTGACTTAATCTGGGAATTCCATACTTGAAAAGAGTAAAGAATATCAATGATCAAGATAGGCCTTCCAAAGGGACTTCCCAGCTGGCCAGAAATCTTGGGTTCAAGTCCTTCTGGACTCACCATCTGCCCTTTGGGAGAGACACCAGAGGATTGATACTGTCTTTTACCTGGCACTTTCCGCCTTGCCCTTCCTAAATGCTCTACTAGGCTTTCTTCAGTAGCACATCTCAGGCAGGGGGCATGTTTCATTTTGGGTCCAGCAGGGGGAGCCCCATAACACTATTTTCCACAGTCTTAGAGAACTTGCATTGAGCTATTCACCCACTCCTGACACCTCCCCCCCACCCCACCCCTGCCTCGACACACGCACATATCTCCCAAGCTTCGAAATAAATAACTCCCTGTATTCATCTTGACAGGCAGCTTGGCGTAGCAGAAATACTGATAAATATGGACGAATATGATAAATACTTATTGATAAAAGTGACGAATATGGCACTTTCAAATCCCAGCTCTGCCCCTTATTACCTACACTGTTGTTCAGTCACGTCAGACTGACTCTTCGTGACTGCATTTGCTGTTTTCTTGGTGAAGTTCCTGGAGCGGTTTGCCATTACCTTCTCCAGCTCATTTTACAGATGAGGCAAACAAGGTTGAGTGACTTACCCAGGGTCACACAGCTAGTAAAAGTCTGAGGCCAGATTTGAACTCAGAAAGATGAGTCTTCTTGATTCCAGGCCCACCACTCTTATCCACTGAACCACCTAGATGCCTTTATTACCTATGTGACCTCAAAAGTAAGTCATTCTCCCTGCCCCCTTCTCCCACCGTGAGCCTCAGTTTTCTCATCTGTGAAATGAGGGGGTTGGATTAGATAGTCTCTGAGGTACCTTCCAGCTTTAGGGCCATTATACTATAAGTCACTTCACTTGCCTGAGCCTCAGTTTCCTATCTTCTCAAACAAGGAGGCTGGGGTAGATGGCCTCTGAGGTCCTTTCTAGCTCTATGAGTCAATGGTCCTCTGATCCTGAGTCATGTAACCATTTTAAGCCTCAGTTTCCTCATCTGAAAAATAAGAGGGTTAGACTAGAGGGCCCTTGAGGGCTCTTCCAGCTCTGGCTCAAGGAAAATGTCTTAGATCCATGTTGCCTTTGTTGAGGCAGCAAGGTATAATTCCTGGCTTTGACCTTTGCAGGCTATACAACAATAGGCAATACTTCACTCTGAATCTTAGCTCTCTGATTCCCTCCCACCCCCCATAAAATGGGATACTAACACCTGTACTCCCTGCCTCCTTTTGGAGAAAGCACTTTTGTTGTCAATGAGCTGCTGATGGTATATGTGGACCCGGGTTCAAATTCCAGCTCTGCCATTGGCTACCTGTATAACTTGGAGGACTTCGTGTCTCTGGGCCTCATCTTCCTCATCTGTAAAATGAAGGGGTTGGATTAGATGACTCTAACATTAATTGCTTCCAGTTTTAAATCTCTGATCCTGAACCTTGAACTAATATGGTGTGAAGTATTAGATTGACAGTTGACCTGGACTGAGTCTCCGCCTATTGAAATAAGGGCTGGCAAGGCCCCACCCTGGTCTATGTGTCTTGCTATGAGGTCACCTACATAGAGCTCTTCATCAAGCTCAGAACTTATTTACGTGCAAACTCTTGCTGCTATCCCTACATAAAAAATCACCCCAGTACGGTGGACAAAGACACCCAACCTGAGAAAGAAGTTCAGTTCTTCTCAGCCCTTTACTCATGTTATTTCCACCGCCTCCAACCCTAACCACTCTGCTTCCCAATGCTTCCCTAACCCAAGCCTTGAAGGATGCTTGAAGACCTAAGGGACCCTCTAAATCCTTCTCTGAGGAGTTTCCCTTATTATTCTAAGTCACTGGCTTTCTCTCATGCCTGATATGCCCTCCCTCCTCACCTCAGCCTCCTGGCTTCCCTCACATCCCACCTTCTCCGGAAGACCTTCCCTGCTTCTCCCCCAGCTGCTCTGGGATCATCTTCCATCTACTCTGCATATAGCTTGTATAGATACAGTTGTTTGCATGTTATCTACCCCCATTAGACTGTCAACTCTTGAGGTTGGGGACCAATCTTCTGCTTTTCTTTGTATCCCCAGCACTTAGCTAGGTACCTAGAACATTTGTTGTTGTTATTGTTGTTGTTTGGGGTTTTCTTAGCAAAGATACTGAAGCGGTTTGCCATTTCCTTCTCTAGCTCATTTTACAGATGAGGAACTGAGACAAACAGGGTTAAGTGACTTACGTAGAAAGTGTCCAAGGCAGGATTTGAACTGGTGAAGATGAGTCTTCTGGACTCCAGGTCCAGTGCTCTATGCACTATGGCGCCACCTAGCTGTCCTACTTGGAACGTAGAAAACATGAGTAAATACCTGTTGGCCAACTTTGATCACTTTCTCTTTGTTGCTGTCTCTGTTTGTGTCTGTCTCTCCCCACCTCCAACACTTAAGATCATAGAATATTAGAGATGATCAAATCCAACCCCATTTGACAGAGGTGCAAACTGAGGTCTAGAGAGGTTGTAACTATCCCAAGATCAAACAGCCTATACTGTTGTTTGATGCTTTCATTTCTGCATGACTTATTTCCTCCACTAGATTACAAACTCCTTCAGGGATTATACTTGTGTCTTATACTTAATGTCACTTCCCATAATGCCCAGCGTGGCGTTGGGTACAAAACAGAGGGAGAAGAGTTATGGGTTTGGAATCAACAGACCTCGGTTGCAGAACCAGCTCTATCCCTTAACCCTGGGATGATGGGCAAATCCTATCATCTTCAGGCCTTGACTTAGAGTCAGGTGACATTGGCTTGAGTCCCAGCTCTGCCATTTCCTAATGGTGTGGCCCTGTAGGGCATTCCACCTGTCCTAGCCCCAGATTCCTTATCAGGCAAATAGAGTTAATGACCACTTGCATTGATCTCCCAGGTATACAGTCAGGAAACCGTAAGATGCTAAAGACAAGATGTTTTTTTGAATAGAATGCTACAGAAAAGTGAAGCATTGCTGATTATTCAATGAATAATTATGGAGTGGAGAGGCTGTAGTGGAGAGAGAGGGTCTCAAAATCAGGAAAACATGGGTTCAAGTCCTAATATGTACTGGCTATATGACTCTGGGTTGAGAGTCATTTACCTTCTCAGTAACTCAGGCAATTCTCTAAGATGGTGGAGGGATTTTCTTTACTGGGAGTCCCTGTACCAATAAAACACAAGTCTGGTGGTAAAAACAAAACAAAACAAAACAACACCCCACATACCAAGCTTACTGGGTAGATGGTTAGGATCTTTATCGATGAAAGAAGAGCCACATCGAAAAGACAGTGGATCCATTCTTTTAAAAATATGGTCTCTTTTATTTTTATATCACCTTCATTTCCCGGCATATCTTCTTCAACACTCCCCAACCCAGAGAAGAATCCCTTCTAACAAAGGATAAAGGGGGAAGAGGAGGCAGGTCAGTAAAACTAACATGCGAATCGAGTCAGACTTAGACAGCATTGCACGCCCACAGTTGTCCACCTCTACAAAGAGTGGAGGGGGAAGGGGTCACCAGATTGACCCACCCAGTCCTGATCCTCTGCTGTTTCAGTTTCACAAAGGCCACAACTGCTGAACAAAGACATGTGCCTCCTCTCCCCCTATCCCAGAAGCCCTAGATTCCTGCCTTTGTCTACCTAGTATCACATCTCTTTAAAGCATTTATGCATTTCAGGGAACAACAAGGAAATGGCCCACTAATAACTAACACATTGTCCTAAAAGGGTGTTTGTGAGTGTGTGTGCGCCAGCGCTAAGAATGTGGATGCACTCAGCCCCCATCACTCAGCCCTGCCCCCACCCCCACCCCCTCTCTTTCATCTGTCTTTTTCCAGATCATATTTATTACACACACACAAGTCAAGGAGAGTTGAATCTGTCCCGCTGGGGACAGAAGCAGAAGAAGTCTTTTTTCATAACAAGCCCCAGAAACTGGAATTGTTTTCTGATGAGCAAACGGCAAATTCTATCAGAGATTAGCTAGTGGGGATGAGAGGGAGAGGGAGGGGGAGAGATTCTTAATAGCCTGAAGCAACCAGATTCATCTTCCAAGCTGCATTAGGAAAAAGGGAGATACACTATTAGATACTTGCTTGGTGGTCTAGCGTTTTCTGCCTACATGGGAAGAGGATTGTAGGATTAAAAGATGGGGTAGGAATAGGATTTGACCCTCCTTCCTCCCCCCCCAAAAAATTTTGAATTAAACATGTAATTTAAGGAAAATCAAAATATCTTAGAAGCACCAAATAAAAGTCATAAGACCGTGCTGGCTACAGCTGTGGGCAATGGTGCAAAACAAATTCTCTCTCTGCCAAGCCTCCTCTGGGAGGATGCATTTGTTTAAAAAACACCCTCCCCCCTCTCTGCCTCTATTCCAGACACCCCCTATTAAACCCACTCGGCTTGCCCCCAGTACATATTCTTCAATGAGGGAGAAACCATGGCTTTTAATATTTGATCCTGACTGTACTTGGCTGACCCTCCCGACCTGCTTTCAACATACCATGCACTTTGAGTTGGAATATAGCAGGAAATGCAATGCCTCCAGAGTCAGAGGACCTGAATTCAAATCCTTCTACTTACTACTTGTGTGACTTGAGCAAATCATTTAATCTTTCCTGGGCCTCAGTTTCCTCATCTGTAAAATGAGGGAGGCTGGACTCAATGGCCTCTGGGGTTCCTTCCAGATCTAAATCTATGGTTTTATGGCTTGAAGGTGTCCTGGAACTCTGATCAGGAAGAGGGTCCATCTATAACCTGGGCCTCTACCCAAATGAATTGGCCTCCCTCTAACAGAAGCTCTGGGCCATTAAGGATGGAATGTTAAGAACCCTGCCTCTGAGGGAAAAATACGGGGGTGAGAAAATGTGAACAACCCAGAAATAACAGCGAAGCACTTGGGGGCTATAAATACATCACAATTACACAAGTAACTATAGAGAACACCCACCTCATAGCCACATGCAAGTCAATGCCTCCTTCTTTGTATCACAGGTGAATAAGGACCTGCATTTTCATTCCACATCAAGAGACCCAGACTGGGAGAGACAGAAAGAAAGAAGAGACAGAGACAGAGAAAGCTGGGGAAAGAGAGAGACAGAGACAGAGAGACAGAGAGAATCTTACCCTGAAGTCCTAGTTAACAGGGCAAGACCAAAGAAATGAACAAACAGTCAACAAAGCACCGAACGTGCTTTGCTAAGTCCTCTTCCAGCTCTGCCAACAGTTCCTCCACCTTTGGTTTGTTTTCCTTCTTTCTTTCTTTCTTTTTCTTTTCTTTTCTTTAATATGACTGCCCCCAAGGACTTGGGGGCAACTGAGATGGAGAAAGAGAAAGATGGAGGAGGGAAGCGGGAGATGAATGAGTGGGAGTGGGAGAGAAGGTAAGAGGAAGAGAAAGAGTAATAGAGAGCTGGCCTGGGAGTCAGGAAAACCTGGCTTGAGTCCTGCTCTGATTCATATCAGCTATGTACTCTCAGAGAAGTCATTCATCCTCTCATTGCCTGAGACAACTCTATAAGAATTTAAGTTACAGAGAAGTCAGCAAATATTTGTCAAGTACCTACTGTGTGCCAGGCACTAGGCTAGAATCTGGGGATACAAAGAATTATGAAAACACAATCCCTGCCCTCAAGGAGCTCACAATCGAATGGAGGTGATACATGCAAACAAGATGTATGTGGCATAGATTGGAAATAAGCTCAGAGGGAAGGTACCAGCCTTACCACTCCCACCAAGGGGGATGCAGAAAGACTTCTTAGAAGAGGAGCACTTCCCACTGAGACTTGGAAGCAGCCTGGGAAAGCTAGGAGGCAGAGGGCACTCTGAACATGGGGGAGTGCCCAGGAAAATGCACCAAACTGGGAGATGGAGGGTGAAAAACAGCCAGAAGCCCCATGTCAGTGGGCTGCAGTAGAGGTGGAAGGGAGTAAGGTACAATAAGAGTGGAAAGGAAGGAAGTGTCCAGACTGTCAAGGGCTTTAAAAGCCAAATTGATGATTTTTATAGTGGATCATGGAAGTAATAGGGAACCACTGGAGTTCAATGAATGGGGGTGTGGATGACATGATGCTTCAGGAAGATCGATTTGACAGTTGAGTGGAGGATGACCTGGAGGAGAAAGGGACTTGAGAGAAAGTGACCAGTCCAGGTGAAGGTGATGGGGGCTTGCACCAGATGGTGGCAGTGTCAGAGGAGCGAAGGGGGACATATGTAGGAGATATCACAAAGGTAAAAATCAATAAAACTTGGAAGGATGACATGTGGGTTATGAGCCTGAGGGCCTGGGATGATAGTGGTACCCTTGAAAGAACAGTGATAGCAAAGTTAGAAAGAGGGGAGAGCTTGGGGAAAAGATAACAAGGTGAGTTCTGGACGTGTTGAATTTCAAATATCCATGGGACATACAGTCTGAGAAGTACAAGAGGCAATTGGAGATTTGAGAGTGGAGGTTAGGGATGGAGGAGATACTGGACTGTGAAGGTAGAGGGTTTTACCCCTTATGCCAATGAAATCACAGGTCTAATTCCTTTCCCAACATTATCTATCTATCTATCCATCCATGCATCTTTCATCCATTTGTCCATCCATCCATCCATCTATCCCTTTTTCTGTTTCTCTATCTCTTTCTCTTTATCCATCCATCCTCTATCTCTATCTCTTTATGTATCTCTGTCTCTTGATTTATCAGCTCTAATGTACATGTATTATGTGAACACATACACACACATAGTAGTGTAATTACAGTTCTGTTGATTTCACTCTGCATTCTTTTGTGTGGATTGATCAGTCTATGAGCATTTATTAAGCACTTAACTTCCAGGTACTATGCTATAATCACTGGAGATGCAGAGACAAAAGTAAATCAGTCTCCTCCCTCAAGGAGCTCATATCCTCATAAGAAAGTCCTTCCATACTACCTTGCATGTTTCATACTCATCATTTTTAACACCAGAAGCTTCTACTGCATTAAAACATGAAGGATCTATAATTTCATCAGCATAAGGACCTCCTTTTGTCAGTGGGGCCAGCCTGATGGCACAATGGATAGAATGTTAGGGCTGAAGTCAGGAAGACCTGAGTTCAAATTTGGCTTCAAACAATAGTTGTGTGACGTTGGCAAGTCATTTAACCTCTACCTCAGTTTCCTTATCTGCAGAATGGGGATCATAATAGCACCTACCTCCTAGGATTATTGTAGGGATCAAATGAGATATTTTTTAAGTGCTTAGCTCAGTGCCTGGCACATAGTAGGTGCTGTATAAATCTTAGCTATTATTGTTGTTGTTACTGATTCCAACCTTTTCTACAAAGTCCTGAGTAAGTCACGCCTAGAGCATTTCCTGAGGCTGAGAGAGGTTGGCAGGACTTGATCCTATCTGCTCTATAAGCCCAGTATTCTATCTATTCACTATATCAAGGCTGCTTCTCTTCCATTAACACATCACAATTTATCCCACATTCTTCAGTCCTTGAATTGGTTGCTTCTAATTCTTTGTTACTGCAAACTGAACAGCTGTGAATCTTGTTGTACAGATGGGGAACTTTCCCTCCCCCTTTTGTAATGCTTTTAGGATCAGGTTGTAGTAGCAAAATCATCAGGTTAAAAGGGGCTGATTAGTTTCATGACTTACGACATATTGCTGTTGTGTTCCACGGTGTTGGCACTAATATGCAGTTCCACCAATAGTGTATCAGTGCACTTGCTTGTTCGTTATGGTTCATAAATGGTTTTTCAGGTGACGTTATTTCCCTTAAACTCTTTTCTTTGTGCTTACATCACATGCCTATAGTCTCCCAAGAATGGCTTCTTCCAAACACAGTCCTGCTGTCACACTGCATCGAAATGTGCACAGAGTTTGTGTGGCATACAGCTGGCAGTGTGGTACTCAGTGTGATCACCAACCAACAAAGCAGAATTGAATGACAATGTGGGCAAATACAGTCTGCTCTGTGCCAAGATGGAAGGCCTGAATAGGAGTTCCTTTCTTTTTCTTTTTGTTTCTTCATTTCTTTTTTTTAAATTTACTTTTACCTTTCAACATTCACTTCCATAAGCTTTTGAATTTTAAATTTTCTCACCCTCCCTCCCCACCTCCCTCCCCAAAATGGCATGCAACCTGATATAGGCTCTACATATACATTCCTATTAAACATGTTTTCACATGAGTCATGTTGTAAAGAAGAGTTAGAACCAATAGGAGGAACCACAAGAAAGAAGAAACAAAACAAAACAGAAGGAAAAAAAGAGCAAATAGTATGCTTCGATCTGCATTCAAACTCCATAGTTCTTTCTCTGGCTGTGGATAGCATTTTCCATCATGAAATTTTCAGAGATGTCTTAGATTCTTGCATTGCTGAGGAGAGCTAAGTCTATCAAAGTTAGTCATTGCACAGTGTGGCTGTTACTGTGTACAACATTCTCCTGGTTCTGCTTACTTCAGGAGATCCTTTCTGACAGAAGGGAGAAGAATATTGGTATTATGTATAGTTTCCAGAGTGAACACCCACAGCATTCCACCCAAACCCACCAGTTAAATGACATAGAGAGATATCCATACTAGTGGCACAGTGGATAGAACACTGGGCTTAAAATTAGGAAGACTCATCTTCCTGAGTTCAAATCTGGCCTCAGACATGTACTAACCATGTGACCCTGAGCAAGTCACTTAACTTGTTTGCCTCAGTTCTTCATCTGTAAAATGAGCTGGAGAAGGAAATGGCAAACCAATCCAGTGTCTTTGAAAAGAAAACCACAAATGGGGTCACAGACAATTGAAAACAATTGAACAACAAAAAGGATGTCATCCATCTGAGGGACTCCCAGGATGGAAACTCTCTCCACCAATGCAGATTGGCAATTCAATTCATCAGTAACTTAAGAGTCTTCATGAAATGCTTGGGATAAACTGTCAGAGTTAGTTGATGTGTTGGTTAATTTTACTAAACTGCTTCCCTAGCTCAGATTCCTTAAGAACCTAGCCAATAGCTCACAAATGTTCAGATTCCTTCAGAGTCTGGCCAATGTGGCAGATCTTTAACAAATCTTATCTCTGGCTGAAAGAAGGCTTTGGTAGAATTCTTTCAGGCAGGACCTGTGTCTCTTGCCCTTGATATTTTGGGGTCCCAGCACCCTCAAACCTCTAGACCTCAATGTTCCCTGACCGGGAAGAACTGCCTAATCTCAAGCTCTTCTTCAGCCAAGACTGGAAGGTTTGTCTCCTCCAGGGTCTGAACCATCAAATTCCAGAAGATTGCTACCAACCTCTGACTGAGTCCAAGGTTTTCTAGCCCACTGGACCTAAAGTCTGACCCCTTGAATGGGACCCAGAGAGGCAGATACAGCTCTGTGCCCCTTGCCAGCAGGAAGAAGTTTTAGAAGCCAAGACCTTCACTCTTTACACCCAAAAGAATTTGGGTCCCATTTGTCTGAGAGATTCTCCTTGAATTCTCCCACTTGATCAACGAGGTCTCTGGCATTCGCCTGAGGCTATAATCCTATCAACTGGCCTTTCATTATCACCTAGGCCCAATCTCCCAATTCTCAGTTACCCTTAACCTAGCCCAGCCTTCCATTGTCTATTACCTCCCCATGGCCCCTGGCTACTTTCCACCCTTGACCCTATCAAGACCCCACTCTCAACCTCCCAGTCACTCCCATCAAGATCCTTCCTAGATCTCTCCCACAGTCTTTCAGTATACAAGGTCCACCTTGTCTCCATTAAGGTGCTCAGATTCCTTAAGAACATAGCCAATAGGTCACAAATGTTCAGATTCCTTAAAAGTCTGGCCAATACGGCAGATCTTTAATAAACCTTGTCTCTGGCTGAAAAAAAAAACAACAAACTGTGTCTCCCCACCCCCCACCTTTCTTTCTTTATTCTCTGTTACAAGGCATGACTTGCTGGGCTGAGGAGGGAGGAAGGATATATTGATAAATGATGTTAATATGAAAACAAAAGATATCAATAATTTAAAAGGGATGACTGGGGGCATTAAGAAGTTAACCCTGGATTATACAGCCAGTAAGAGCTGAAGGC